AGCGCTTTGGCTAGGGTACCTTAGGAGGGAACATACACACACTTTTCCTAGATATTTCATCTCGAACCAGCTTTTTCTCATCGTTTGCAAGATTCTTATAGCCTACTTTTTCCAAGGGGAAATTAACTCAAATGGTGCCTCAACTAACTGATATTTTCGCGGAGCCAATCACGGTGTAAATTGTTTGTGGACCTATGCCCTATCTTGTTTTTCAAAGCATAGCTATTCGCTGTCGTAAGAAAATGGCTTTCAAATATCTCTACTCCAGGTATGTAGTTGGTAGGACAGTTTTTTTTGCGAAAGCCATGAATCTCAGATTACCGGAAGATTTTGTTCTTTCGATTTTTCTCACTTAACCTAAGATTGATTCAGCCCTCTTTCAAGTGATCGAAGAACCTTGGCAACAGATCCTTGCTTGTAAAGCGCAGTTCACATTACCCTAATATCTCTGGGTTCTGAATGCAAAAAAAAGAGATTGCTTGAGCCTATTTTATCGAAATTTTCTGTTTCTTATTATTTTGTGCTGGAATTTGCCCAGTTTCCCCGAGGTAATGGTTGCCGTTGGAGCCTGATTGATGTTATGGGGAGAGAGGCAATTTGTTATTCATCTCGTTGATTCAAAGGTTTTTTTTGCTTTGTGCAGAATCCATGCAAAACTGGCTTTAGCCGAAACTTCTGCCTAAAAATAATTACTACACCTCTTAAAGTCTCGGTTCGCTTAGGCATATGCCACCAGCTTTTACATGTAAGATCATCTGTCTTGTTTTATGTGAACTCTAGATGCTCTAATTTTGTGATCTTTTTAGTTTGATGTTTTGGAATCCGGTCAGAATGCTTCAGCAAATTGAAAACGTGTTATGTGAGGGACTACTATTTAAGCTTCTATTTCATTACAGTTCCGAGAATTAACTTCCTACTAATAAAAACATGCTAAAACTTTGGACCGGGAAAAAGCGCAAATCTTCTTGCTCAACCCATCATTTTGAGAAACCGTAACTACATTCTTCTTGCATTCCTTTCTTGTATTCTTTGCGCTTTACGTAGTTCTATTTCGAATTACACGTTAGTCATCTGTATTCTGAACTAGGTTTTTTTACTTGTATTTTTATCAGTCTCAAAAAGAACTTTCCATTCGAAATCTTATCTTGTTAGGGCTAGCGTACCACACATCTTTGCACAAAAAATTGATGCCATTCTGATGGTACGTGCGACCATATTTTCATATTTGGAGAAGCCACAGTTTGTTAACAAAAAGAAACTCAGACGAAATGGCGATTCAAGATGCATAGGAGATACAGTTTAAAACGCTAATTCCAAATCTATGTTCTGTTCTGCTGAATCATATCATTGAAATTCTTAGCTAGTGATATGTTAGTTACAAATTCCCTACATATAGAGAAGTTATCGCAAGTTTGGAACTTTTGAGGACGCTTTTTTTAAGAACGCGTGAATGCGTGTCGGTCGATATCTCACCTGAGCCTACTCTCAAAGTTTCCATGAGAGGGTCTTCCTAGGCGGTGCCTACATGACACTTATTTAACAATCATGTCGACATTTGAGTATTAACAATGAAGGTGCAGCGTTTTTATTGCTTCAAAAGAGTCTTTTGTTGTTTTGTTGTTGAAAATGATTGGTTTTAAGAGGAGGATTAAAATTACCGGATATGGATGAAGATGAGTTATGTTTATCCAGTAAGGGCGAAAGAAGTCAACCTTCGGTGCACAAATTGGGAAGCGGAATGGGGTTGATGTTATTGTTATTTTCCAAGCATTAAATCGTATAAGTCCACTTTTCATTATAAGCGATCAGGTAATTCAGATTGTACGTTTTATCGCAAGATTCGGATACTTGGAGTTTTACATCAGTTCATCCAATTCCGAACGTTCGTCAAAATCCAAAAAGCTTCCTCTATCTTGTCATGCACCTAATCACTGCTAAACTAACTTCTTAACTTATTTTAAGTTGGAGTTAGACCTTGATTTATGGTGAATTGTTTTTTGTGTGAATAATATATGCTTATGACTTAGGTACTCATATTTGGAGCCGGAACACTAGGATGCAATATCGCAAGGTGTTTGATGGGATGGGGAGTCAAAAAGATCACATTTGTGGATAATTCGTCAGTGAGCTACAGTAACCCGGTGCGGTAAGTGCACTCAATGAATTTGACTCAAAGTTGGAGTATTAGTAAGCTCTGAAAACTATGATGATATTTGTCTTTTGTTCAACTTATTGTAAGATTGCATAATGTCCCAATGGAAGTACTTATTGTGCAGTTTTAAAAGCAAATTCTGCCAATCGTCATTTACTCTTTAACTACCGTTTTAAGGCAGTCGCTATCAGAATTTGAAGATGCTCGAGAATCTCGGGGCAAAGCTGAAACAGCGGCAGCTGCTTTGCAACGAATCTATCCTAGCATTGATTCACAAGCTGTACGACTCACGGTACCAATGCCTGGACACACGATATCGGCTAGTGGTCAGTGCTTCTCCTGATCGAAAAAAATTAGGGAGTAAAAACGTGATATATCTTTTTAGCTATCAGTAAATACAATAAATTTTAGTCATGATTTCTGTGAACATTTCTTGAATTAGGAATCGATATTCTACCGAGAAGTTCATTACGAAGTTCATTAATGCACCTTTTTAGAAGAGGCTGCCTTAGAAAGAGATGTGTCTTTGATAGATGATCTTGTTGCGAATCACGACGTAGTGTTTCTGGCACTG